AAGCGATGGGTGTACCTCGGGGTGCGGGATTAGGGAAAGGGAGTCAGCCCACGGGCGGCGCCGGTTCCGTCCAGCAGGGGGCACTCCAGGGCAGCCCGTCCCCACACAGGGAAGGGCCGGCAGAAAAGGGAGCCGAAGCCCGGGAAAGCCAAAGCCCAGTCCCTCCTCTGACCGTCGTCGCCTTCCTCCTCGGACATGATGGCCACGCACTGCTCCCACACCGTGCGCACGTCGGCCCGGTAGCGCTCGCAGGACCAGATGAAGGAGGGCAGGAGCAGCGTCTGTGCCATGGAGCACCACAGCACAGCCAGCACCATCCACGGCGGGGCCGAGTCCGACTTAAGGGAGAAGAAGCTCACCACCTAGCGGGAGGATGGGGAATGGCGCGGGGTCACGACCCAGCGCCCAGAGGTCCCCCTGGGCCCCGGATCCAGGGTTCTAGTGCAGTGGCTGGGCAAGAAGGAAGGGATGGCCCAGTTCACAGAGGCTCAGGACAGAGGCAAAGTCGGAGGTGGTGATGGGACGAACAGAGGGCAAGGGCCTGATTCAGAGGAAGGTCGGGGGCAAGGACTGGAGACAAAGCCCTGAGGTCCAGAGGGACAGAAACAGACGTGGTACAGAAAAGTTGAACACAGAGAGAAATTTGGGAATCGGGACTAGATGGGGATGCAAAAAGCGGGGGTGGTGGGGTGAGCTCTCTGGGCTTTCCACCGGAGTGCTCAGAGACCCTGTGGTATATCCCAAGAGTGTTAGGGAATGGAGACTGGAGCTGGGCTGCTGGATGGTAGGGCTGGGGGCCGAAGCGTGGAGCCGCAGGATAGATGGTGGAGCTGGAGGATGGGTGGTGGAGTTGAGTAGTAGAAACTGGAAAACACAACGAGGCTGGGGGTAATGGGAACGAGGAGATGGATGATGGAGGTGGGGGGCTCACAGATCTAGCGGGGGTGGGCAGAAGAGAGGAAGGTGGATGGCAGAGCTGCTGTATGGCGGATGGACTTGGAGGTCAGGTGACTGTGCTGGGGCCTGGATATTGGGAACAGCAGGCGGGGGACCCCAATCTCACCAAGATGGGCACCCCTGTGAGTGAGTCATAGAGAAAGACGATGGCGCTGACCAAGTTGGTGACCTGCAGGGATGTCTTGGCCGACTCGGAGCCGTCCAGCGAGGACCGCCGCTTCCCTCTGGCATCCTCCACCACAATGGCTGGCACCTCAAAGGCTGGCCGGGTACCCAACGCCCCTGGCCCACCCCCCTTGGCCCCGCCCCCCACCCCCGCTCGCCGGGCCAGCCGAGCCCTCCGGGGCCGGGCCCACAACGTCTGGTAGAAGGTGATGGCCACACAGACCAACCCCATGACAATGCCCCCAAGTAGCAAGAGGCTGAAGCAGACGCCAAAGCCCAGGCCAATCTTGGAGACTATGAACTGGCAGCCGCGGGCGTAGTAGCGCTCGCCATTGTTGTGCCAGCCAATGGAGGGCAGCGTAGAGAGGATGAAGCTGACCATCCAGATGCCCATGACGGCGTGCAGCGCCTGCTTCTTGGCGTTGCTGAGACGGTAGTTGACGGGCCAACGCACCATCCACATGCGATGGTAGGAGAGGGAGGCGACTGTGAAGCAGGTGGCCAGGGCCAGTGTGTAGTAGGTGGACACAAACACCTTGCAGATGCTCTCGTTCCAGTCATAGTCGGAGGAGGCCTGGCGCCGGAGCTGCACCACGGCGAAGGTGGTGAGGGGCACGGCCGCCATGAGTATGTGTGTGCCCGCCAGGAAGCAGAGCAGCAACTCCAGCGGCTTGTGCTTCTGCTGCTTGGCCGAGATGCTGAGGATGATCCAGGCATTGGCCAGCAGTGCCAGGAGCCCACAGGCCAGCCAGGACAATGCGTTTGAGCGCAGGGAGGCCTCCTCTGCCCCTGCCCCTCCCCGAGCCATCCTATATTCTCGGCCCCCCCACCCCCCTTGAACTCCTGGGGGTGGGGGCTAGGTCTCACCCAGGAGCCCCACTCACACACACACCCATGATGCGCCCGATCTCTGCCCTGTGGTGGAGCAGGCCGCCCAGCGGCCTACCCTACTGCTCAGCATTGCATGACTGACCCAGCTAAGGTGCGGTGCGGAGGGCAGGGGAGGAGACTGAGGGTCAGCAGAGGTGGTCCTCAGCCTCCATATTGGGTGGGAACCTTCCCGAAGTATCCCTGTGGTTGATAGGGGAGGCAAGCAGAATGCTTTCCCAACTACAAGGCTGGCTGAGGAGCTCTGGTCCCCATGCCGGGACTTCCGGGTCTCTTCTTCCTCTGGTTCTTGACCAGTCAGGGATCTTCTGGGTGCCCCAAGGGGTGTGTGTGTCGGGTGAGGCTCAGCCACCTGGACAAACTGCAAGGGAGAAATGACATGTGGGAGGGGGAGGGCAAAAGGTAGGGCCTAGGCTGTTCTCCAACTGACTTCTCGCACCCCCTTCTCTTGAAACTATAGAAATAACTGACTACTAGGGGTCATGAGGTCATTTAGAAAATTCTCTTGCCTTAAATCAGAAGGACAGTCACACAGCCCACACAGGTAAGAGCCCTGCTTTCTTGACTGTCAGGAAAGAAGGTGTTCTGACCTCCTGTCTCCTATCCCTTTCAGCCCTTTTTCCTCCCTCTGCATTCCCAGGTCCCTTCTTAAGTGCCCTGCTCAGTACTATTCGATCCCCAGCTTCATGTCCCTGAATCTCTCTTCAGAGCTATTGCTGCCAGGTGCACGACTTGTTTCTTTTTTGAGGGTTCAGGGTAAACTGGGATATGTATGCTATCTCAGCTCCTCCCCAGCATTCTGGCTCCTGGGCCCAGGGGGTCTTGGTGCTCAGCCCCATTTCCCCAAGCCCGTGTGATCCCCCTCTAGTTCACCAGGGATCTGGGAAGATGGGAGAAAGGAGGCTGGGACCAAGGGGAGGGGGGGCTAGGGAACCCGAAGGCGGGGAAACCGCTGACATCAGAAGCATCCAGAAATGGAAAGATGGGGAACTAGGGGGAAGGAGGAGAGTTTGAGCAGAAGAGAAAGAAAGAGGGGGCAAAGTGATAGTATCTGAAAATAGAAGGAAACCTCCAGAGACCCCTGGAAAGGAGGCTTGAGAGCCAAGAGGGGTGGTATGGAAGGAGGGAGCAGGAAACAGGGAGGCTGAGAAGAAAAGCCCCATGTTCAATAAGGTGCTGACTCCCACTGGTAGACCTCCACTCTTTCCTCTCCTGCCCCAGCCTCAGTTTCCCTCTGATGGGAAGGCGGGTAATCCTGAATTTCGAGAAGCTGAGCTTCAGTGAGCCCTGGGGAGGGGGCTAAGAGGAAATCAGGGGAAGCCCTGAACTGAGTGGAGGCAAGAAGGATGAGCTAACGGCTTGGGGAGGGGGGGGAACAAGGGTAAAAATGGGGCACAGCAGTGAGAGGGTCTACTTCCTGTGGAAGAACCTCAGATTCTTGCCCTCCCTGAGAGGTCCTAGTCCACCCCCACCTTTGTTCCCTCCGGAGCCCAGTACACCCTAGTTGCCATGGCAATGGCCAGCCAGAGGGAGGTGGAAGGAATTGGTCAGAAGCGCCCCCCCCACTACTCTCCCCTACAGCCTTGCACCCCTTCCCACCTACCCCCACCCAGGCCCAGCGGGTGGGCTGTGGAAGAAAGAGATGGGGAGTCAGAGAGGGAGGGAGGCAGGAAGGATGTGAAGGACAGAGGAGGAGGTGAAGGGCAGAGAAAGATCAGAGGAAGGTGGGAGAGGGGATCTGGGGGACTCCACCGCGGACAGGGGTCCCTCGCCCTTCGGGGTGACGGGTTAAGGTCAGGCGGCTCCTCCCTCCCACCACCCACCGTGTTCTCCGGGGCAGTGACAGCAGGTGGCTGGGGAGGAGGGGCTGGCCGAAGGGGAGAGGAGGCGGCTGGGGGGGGAAGGGGGGAGGCGGAGAGGGGGCCGCATGGGGGACAGGGCCGGGGTCGTCTTACCTCTGGCTGCGCCCGGCACTGCCATGGAGACCGCACTCCCGACGCCGCTCGCCCGGGCTCCCGCCGCCTGCCGGCTCCAGCTCGCCCGCCCTCCTCCTTCCCTCCCTCCTTCCCTCCGGGCCTCCCTCCCCCCCACCCTCGGTCCCAGCCTCCCGGGCTCGGCCCGCCGCTCACTCAGTCTCTGCCCCCCACCCCAGGTCTGTGGGAGCCCCCGTCTCCCGGAGGCGCGCCTCCCGTGAGCCCCGGGTCAGGGGCCGGCCGGGAGCGGCTGGGGTGGGGGGGCGCGGGGGCGAGTGCGGGGCGGGGAACTGGACGGCGGCGACTTGGAGGGGGAGGGGCGGGGAAGGCGCCGGCAGGGAGGGGGCGAGGACGCTGGTGGGGAACCGGCTTCATTGGTGAGACGGTTCGTGTCCTGCCTCCACCCCACCCCGGTTTTCCACACGAACACCAGCTCAGAGAGGCAGCTGGTGGTGTTCGGGGAGGAGGAAGCGTGTGTCACTGTGTGTATCCGCGAGGGCTGCGCCCCGCCCGGGGGTGCAGCTCAGACGGGCAAGTGCTGGAGGTTGTGCTGAAGCTGGGGCTTCTGGGGGGTGGGGGGACACAGGTCTCAATGCACCTCCCCCATACACATATCGCTTCCTCCTCCTCCTGGAACACAAACTCACACTTGTGTTGGGGATGCACACAATTGGCAGGCACACATTACAGTTTCTCTTGGTCCTTTTTCTCTCCCGCACACACAACCCTGCAGCCTCGCCCTCGGTACAGCCCCAGCGCAGGATTACAAAGTCTGGGGCCCCAGCACACACAGGGCCCTGTGGGGTGGGCAGGTGGGTAATCAGCCCCCAAAGAATCCCCCTTTCCCTAACCGACCCCCCCCCCCCCCCCCCCGCGGGGAAACTTCATCTCCTTCCCCTGGCAAGCCTGGCAACCTCTCCTCTGGGTCTGATCCAGAAGATCCAGGTCCCCAGAGAAGAGTCTGTCTGTCTGCCTGTCTGTCACATACACACACGGACACACGAAGAAGATCATCTTCTTTACAGTAAGTTTATTGTATTTTTCTGTCAGCTCAGGGACGCAGGGGCACGAGTGGGCAGGAATACCAAGCAAGCAGTGGGGAGTCCTCCTGGAAGGGGCAAGCTGGAAAGAGAAGACTAGGGAGAGGGGGTAGGGACTGAGACAGGTGGTGAGAAAGGGAAGGAAGGAGAGGCAGAGGAGGCTGGGGATCCTGAGAGAAATGGATCAAGAAGAGGAGGAAGAAGACTACTTGTAACCCCAATTTTCTTGTATCCTGGATGGTTTGGGGGAGGGATGAAGGAAAATACAGGGCAGGGGGACTGAAGCCCGGCTCTGTCACCCTTCACAAGACGTCCCCTCAGAGGGTTCCCTCTCCAGCCATTTCCCCAGCCCCTCCCCCTGGCAAAGCTCACCTTCCAGAAGGTTCTGCAACAGGGTGAGTGGTAGGTCACTGGGCACTGTCTCCCACAGGGCCCGTGCTCCCAGCCTGTGCTCTGATTAGGAGGACTGACAGTTTTGTCCTCTGGCAACAGGCTTCTGTCTGTGTTTCTGAACTCTCTGAGGCAGGCCCTGCCTGGGGTGGTGTGCTCTTAGGAATGCAGAGGTGGGTCCTGGGCAGCAGTGACTAATCAGCTACAGAGATCTGCGTGGTACTTGTGTCTGTGTTCAGGGTACGGCCCTGGAACTAGGGGTTAGGAGACCTGGGCTAGTCCTCTGGCACTGACGAGCTGTGTGACTTGGGCAATCAGCTGACCTCTCTGAGTTCCATTTCTGGCCTATAAATTGGAGATGCTAATCTTGGTCCTGACACTACTAAGCTCTGTAAGATCTTCTTAAGGTTTAAACAGACAAAGGATGTGAAACTGGCTCATAAACTGACACGTACTGCTTGGATAAGGAATCATGTCTGTGCACAAGTGTGCACTCTGTACATGGGTGTGGGTCCAGGGTTGCCTGTTTGTACACAGGTCACGATGTGAGTGTGTCCTGCCAGCTCAGAGTGAGGAGCAGGCCAAATGGAGCCATGGAGGCAGCTGAGTCAGCAGCCTTTGGATCTGGATCTACCCTCCTCTAGCTGTGTGATCTTGGGCTGGTCCCTGCCTCCTCTGGTCCCAAGGTCCCGTCCAGTAAAATGACAGTCCTGTGCTTCATGCTTCCGACACCCAGCCTTGCCCTCCAAGCCAGGCAGGGCTGGGCCCACGTGATTCCCCAGGGACCAGTGGGCCGTGGGGGAGAGAGCTGGGAAGAAATCATCGATAGGGTTAGGCTTGATGCAAAGGAAATGGGGAAGAAATGATGTAGGCCTCTGCAAGAGGAGGACCAAGGGCCAAGTGTGGACAAAGGAGAGCAGGAGTGGGCCGGAAGTGCTGGGGTCTTCTACATTCATCTGGTCCACAGGCCCAGGAGCCCAGCAGGAAAAGCAGGGGAAAGACAGCTGGGGAGGCTGCAAGCGGGAACTCCCCTGGACCTGCGCCTCAAATGAGATTGCATGTCTTCTGGAACCGGCTGGAGGAACAAAGAAGAGCAAGTTTATTCTTTTCCAAACTCCTTTGCATCCTCGAAGCTCCATGTCTCCCAGTCCGCACTCTCCCTTCTTGGGCAGTGGCGGCCTCTGGGCCACAGCTGCAGGGTGGTATCCAGAAATATTCCAGGCCTGCTGCTGCCTCGCCTCTGCTCTCCACTCTCTTCCTGCTTCCTACTTCCTAAGACATCCCTTTGCACCCTTCTTTGCCCTCCACCATCTCCCTTGAGCCCCCGTTTTTCTCACCTCCATCCCACCTCCCTTCCCTCTGTTCTCCCACCCCCCCCACCCCCACTCGCCACCCTCCTCTTCCCCTTCCCACTCTCTGCACCCCCACCAGTTCCTTACTGGGAGCACTGGCAGGTCTTCTTCTCACTGAGGAGTCTCTTGATCTGAGACATCCGCTCTGCCTGGCGCTGTCCAGGAAGAAGGAAGGGAGTCGTGAGGGTCCCAGGCCTCCAGAAGGGGGTGTCCCTTGGAGGGGGGAGTGGGAAGAGCTGGGAGAGGAGAAGCAGTCACTGTGGCTGAGGCCATCTGTCCCAGAATTAACTCTTTGCTCTTTCCAGTCTCTCCCTCTGCATGCGGCCTGGGACAGGGCCCAGTCGGCCGTGAGGGAACGGGGTGGGCGGGCGGGCAAAGAGCCTGAGCAGAAGCAGCTCACATATACGGGATACCTTTGTTGCTCTACTGGCCCCAGGGGCTCGGATGCCCTGTGGGGAGTGAAAGGGGAGGTCTGGGGCAGCTCACTCACCCTGCGGTGCCAGCACTTAACACAGCAGAAGATGCAGAGCCCAATGAAAAGCAGAAGGCCTAAGATCCCGCCCAGCACAATGGCCAAGAGCTTTGGCCAGGCCTTGGTGAACACTGGGGACAAAACTGCAAGCAAGAGAGAGAGATGTTTCAGCTCACTGCCCTCCATCAGGGTGCCGGGCATTCTGGAGGGCCCCAGGAAGGCCTTGCTGCCCAGCTACACTTGGGGTTCAGCCTTGGGCCGGGAGAGCAGGGCAGGGTGCACAGGGCTCTCACGGGCCACCAGGGCTGAACGGGAAAGGCTGGGGCAGGGGCTTTAAGGTTTAGAGACTACAGGGCACTCCGGGGAACTGGAAGCAGCGGTTTCAGGCTGTGCACAGGGCATGCGTGTGTGCATGTGTGAGTGTGTGTGTGTCCAGGTTCCGAAAGGAGCCAAGAGAGGCGGCTCTTGGTCAGCTAGGCCCCATTCCTGGACTGTAGACCTCAAGGAGGTGGGAACTTGTGGGGTTACAGATAAGAACCACACCTCGCCTTACCTCATTCCCCATGTATGTCCAGGCAGCAGGAGAATAACCCACCCCTCTCAGAGGAATTGGGAGGCTGGGACTCTGGGTGGTCTCCTCCAACCCAGGGAAGGTCCCACAGCTGAAGAGGGAGGGGCTTGGAGTTAGGCCGTGGAACCTGGATGCTCACTCACCCTTGACGTTGGAGGCCAGCAGGACTTTGTCCTTGTCACTCAGTAGACACTGCCATGTTCCCCCCTCAGGGTCCACCACCGATACCAGCTTCTGCTGCTTTGAGACCTTGGCAGCCCGCTCTTCCAGATTCAAGCTCAGAGTCAGCTCAGGGGAGGTGGGTCCCAGCACCTCGCAGGTCAAATTGTTCTGAGACTTAGTCACTGCAGGGGGAGAAGAACCTGAGGCTGGGAGCCTGGATCTTTGAGCTCCTGGCACCTCCATGCTCTAAGGGGCTTCAGTAGAACAATCAAAATGCTTCACACAGATGATCCTCTTTGAGCCTCTTGGAGCACATTTTCAAGCAGTTATATAAACAAAACACAGCTTTTGAGGCCCAGGGTTTTGGACTTGAATCTTAGCCCCACTGCTTACTATCTGTGTGTCCCTGCAAGTTACTTGACAACCCAAGCCCCAGACATTAATTAAATACACAGTAAATTCACAGATACATGTAAAGCTCTTGAATGAGTCTGGCACGTTCGAAGAAGCATCAAGTATTAGCCATTATTATTTGTGGAGTTATGACAATGGGGGAGATAAGGAAGTGAAGAGCTCAGTGTGGAGCCTGATATTACCTTTATCGCTATCATACTAAGAGCAGATTTTGTTATCCTCATTAGGAGAAAGAGGCCCACAGAGGTAGGGGGCTTAGTCAGGGCCATAGAGGGTTGCGTGGAGGCAGAATTAGAGCCTGGTTCTCAGCTCACACCCTTTGGGAATTCTTTTTTTTTTTTTAAGATTTTATTTATTTGACAGAGAGAGACACAGCAAGAGAGGGAACCCAAGCAGGGGGAGGGGAAGAGGGAGAAGCAGGCTTCCCGCAGAGCAGGGAGCCCGATGTGGGGCTTGATCCCAGGACCCTGGGATCATGACCCGAGCTGAAGGCAGACGCTGAACGACTGAGCCACCCAGGCGCCCCCACCCTTTGGGGATTCTCAGCAGAGCCCACCCCAGGCTGGCTCATGGGTGTCAAAGAAGGACAAGTGGATTCCAGTCTCAGTTCAAAACCAGCCCCAAACCAGAAGGCCCTGGATCATCTCCATCAGGAAACTAGGGCCAGGGCCGAGGCATCCCTTTTGGGGCCAATCCCACCTCAGAGCCCTGGACCACGCCCCTCCACCTCCCGCCCCCGCCCTCCCCTTCTCGGCCTACCTCCTCACCTCTCATCACCACAAGATTCACTTCCTGCTTCAATGTCCCCTTGGCAAGCCTCAGGGTCAGGGTTCCAGAACCAGCATACTGAGACAAAGCCTGGGGCAGGATAAAGCTGAGCGGGAGAAAAGTCTTCATCTGGAGTTTGGGGTGGTGGACCTCTTTCACAGATAGCTTCTTGTTCTCCAAGGTGAAGGAGATCCAGAGCAGGGAGGAGGGAGCCCCCTCTGCCCGCCACCTCAGCTCCCCGCTCAGGTTTTCATCTTTGAAGTTAAGCGGAAAGGAGAACTCCACCTGCTCCCCTTCTTTTGTATAGACTGTGTTAGAGACCTTCTGGAAAGCTGGAGGCGGGAAGAGAGAGAAGCTGGGTCAGGAGAAAGGAAGATGAGGGTGTATGGGGTAGGGTGGGCATGGGCAGGGGGCGGCAAGGAGATGGAAGGGGAGGGACCAGGTGAGTCCAAACCCTTAGGTTGCCACTTCAGGCCCTTAAATTCCCTCTCCAGTCTCTCCACCCCAGCACGTTCCCAAGGCAGCGCCTCCTCCCCCTGGAAGCCCTCAGAGAACAGCCCAGCCCAGGAGGCCTCTCCCTCCCCAGGATCCCTGGAGCACAGAGGCCATTTGGCATGCACTACTTAGGTGCATAATTTATCAGCCTTTGTAAGATAAGAGCAAATGCCTGCCTCGGGCTTACTATGTGCCGTGCATTATACACATTCATTCTCGCAGTAACACTACAAGGTAGGTACTGTCACAGTGAGCTTCATCCCTGAAACCAAGGCACGGAGAGATTCGGTAACCGGCCCAAGGTCTTGTGGTTAAGTCAGAGCCGGGATTTCCTTGGGACAGATTTCAGCTCCGGGGGACTGGCCCCAGCCGCCCTCTGTTGGCCTGCAGCGGACCCAGGAGCCAAGCAGTGAGAGCGGAGGGCGGGTCTGTCTGCCACTGAGGCAGAGGGGAGACTGCAGGGGGGAGGCACCCCTCTTACCCAGCACCAAGATGTTTATGTTGAACACCACTGTCTTCTGGTTCTGGGAGATAGTGCATGTCCAGGTACCGCTCTCCTGCGGCTCCAGCCCAGGCAGTGAGAGGCTTTGGCCACTGCTCTTGCTTTTATTCCCTGGACCTTTCCATTGCACGGAGCGGTTACTACCAGAGGGGCCCTCCACGGTCAGGGTCAGCTGCTGCCCTTGCAGCAGGCGGATGTTGCTGCCGCCGCCACTGCCGGTGTCCCACTTGGCAGTCACTGTGGAGGAGCAGGCCCGTGTCACACACATGCTATCCCCAAGGGGAAGGAAGAAGCCAGGACACCAAGAGTGTCTCTCCATTACCCCCGCCAAGACCCAGCAACCCAGCAACCCAGCCCGAGGCAGAGTTACCCTCTCTCCTCCTCCTGCCGCCTCCCCTCCTCTCTGCCTCTGCTGCTCTCCCTCCTTCCTCCGGCTCCTGCCCTTCTCTCCCCGCCCCCCACCCCCCAGGTTTCTTCCCTTCCCACTGAGCAACCAGAGGCCTGAGGAGGGTTTGAGGAGACGTGGGGGCCCATCTGAGCCGTCTCGGGACTGTGGAGGGACCACAAGCTCAGGGCTGGGCTTTGGTGCATGAACGGGAGTCAGGGAGGAAGGCAGGTTGGTTGGAGGGATCCTCATCTACTCACAGTTGAACACCATCAACTCCACCTCTTGCATCTTGCCTTCTACCTCACAGAAGTAAACCCCTGAGTCTGCTACTTCAAGATCCTTGATGATCAGAGGAAAGGATCCTTGGTCCCACAGGTTTTTTTTCGATTCGACGCGATGCTTCAGCCTGGAGACACCTGGGAGCAGAAACCATATGGAGGAGGTTGGGGTAGCCTGAAGGCATGGCATCCCTGGGGAGGGCAAAGCCCACAACTCTTCTGATCTCAGTCCCTAACTTCCTGCAGAATCTGCCCCCAGTTAGAAAACCCCAGACTGGTGAGGCGGTCCCATCACACTCACGTAATTGGCCAGGACAATATCTTGTTAATCAGAAATAAAATAATATCCTTATTTCAAGAGCACCAACTCCTACAGTGCCCAATCCTTGACACGCATCATCTCAAGTGATCTTCACAACAATTCCAGGAAGTAGGTACTGTTTGGCCTGTTTGGCCTACTTTGTAGTTGCCCGCCTCGTACTTACGCATTGGTGGCAGGAACATAAACCAGTACGATTTCTTTGGAAGGTAATTTACAATATCTACCACGATTACAAATGCACATACAAAAATACCTGTCCATCAAGAAAGAATAGGTCAAGTAAATTATAGTTTGCCCCTTCAGTGGAATGCTGTACGAGAAGGAAGCTATCTACTGAATGGAAGAATAGCTAAGAAACATCATTAACTGAACAAAGCAAGATATTAGACAGGCTACCATTTGTCTACAAAGGAGGGAGAAATTTATCTATCTATATCTATCTCTCTGCAGATGCCGTGTATAGGAACACATATTTCTAGAAGTAAACAGAAAAACATGGTAACTTTGGTTGCCCCCGGGACAGGTGTGGGAGGGGGGATTCTCACTACATACCCTTTCCTACCTTTTGAATTTGACTCCAGTAAGTGGCAGAGTCAGGATTAAAATCCAGGCCTATTAGGTATACTATGCAGTACTGTGTCTGGAAAGTTCCTCAGGCAGGGCCATGTGGCCTCCTCCAGTCTCCTCCCTTCATACCTAACAACCATCACCAGGAGAAAGTTCTTCTCTTTAGCTAATCACTTTCTGGGTGTGGCGGCAGCCCCAGAATTCCTGTAGAGGGAGGGTTTTAAAGGCTAATCTTACACAGCAAATGCACAATTTTTACTTAGAATACGTATTTGGTGGGATGAGGTGAAGGTGGCTGAGAGCAAAACCCCACCCTCAATCCCTTGGGCTCCACTTCCGTCCCCCTGAGCAGTCACGGACCCTCTCCCTGTTTTCGCCTGGGTGCGGGAGCCTGGGGGTCATGCCAGCGAGCATTCTCCCCCACTTCCTGCTGCCCCCACTGCCCAGGCTCATCCTCCGCGGGAGACCTTTCCAGATGAGCTGTAACCCTGGGCTCTCCCTCAGCACTGCCCCAGGGGCCCTGTACTTGATTCTGGGAGTCCCTGCCCTCTGGCTCTTTCCCTGGCTCTGCACTTTGCGTAGCTCCCCTGTGGCTCGGAAATCCTGTTGCATTCTTTTCACAACTTACCAAGCTTCTTAGACTAGTAGCTCCCTTGGGTTCTACCCCCCTTTCTACCTTTTTGGTCCTCTCCTCCTTCGTGAGCACCATTTCCTTTTCTTCATCTTGGGCTCTTGTTCTGAAGACTGCATTTAAGTGTTACCCAGACTCTGTCTCACGTCCTCTTCCCCATTTCCACAGACATTCTAAATCCCAGGGCAACGCCTGTCAGCATTGTGAATGACTCCCAAATTGATATTCCCGGCCTCAACCTCTCTCAGTTCTGGGCCCACATTTCCAATGGCCCAAGGCATAACTTTATCTGAAAATCCTGCCATCCCCCAAAACTCACTTGGTTGAAAATGAAGTGGGTCACCCTTTCCCTAAAATAACTCTTCCTCCTTGCTTTCCTTTCCCTCCCTGTCACTTGGGCAGGCTGTCACATACTTTGTAGAAGAGATCGCAAGGTGGTACAAAAGGTCTAAGAGTAGGAGTGAGTCTGGGATAAATCGTGGAGAAGACCCGTGTTGCACCAAGCCTCAAAAGAAGAATAGGCAGCGGGCCAGAATGAAGGGGGAGGAATGAGCACATCCAGGAAGTGGAAAGTCTCCAGGAAAGCAGTATAAGCAACCACCTCAAAGCAATGAGGAAACCACAAGGGTGTCTAGGTTTCCAGCTGGGAAGCTGTGGGAAGTGATGGCCAGGTGGTGAATGTCCAGCAGAGGCTTCTGGGCCCGGTCCAATGGACTAGGGGTGACGTGTACAAGGCATTGCTTTGGAAGTCATACAGAAGCGGTGGAAGAGAAATCAAAGTAGGAGGGACCAGGAACAGAGAGAATTGCCCAGAAGCTTCCTCTGTAATCCAGGTGGGGGAGTTCTGTGGTCATGGCTAATGACGGTGCCATTCTCACAGGAACAAAGAAGATTGTTAAATAACAAAAATTCAACTGAGTGAATTGTAGGGATCTAATTGGCCTTATTAATGGATTCATGAATTGGGCAGCATCCTATCTAGCAAGTAAAGGGGAGCTCTGAAGGGCTACAGAGAAGGAAAGTATTTGCTTGTTTTAAGGTATTTATTTATTTATTTGAGAGATAAAGAGAGGGAGAGCATGGAGGGGGGAGGGGCAGAGGGACAAGCAGACTCCCTCCTGAGTGCAGAGCTCGACTCGGCTGGATCCCAGGACCCTGAGATCATGACCTGAGCTGAAGTCAGATGCTAAAGCTTAACTGACTGAACCACTCAGGTACCCCAGAAAAGGAAAGGTTATTAAAGGTAGAGAGGAAGTGGAGAAAAGGAAATTATTAGCAAAGACTCCATTGTTTTAAGCATGATCACTCTCCTAAGGGAACGAGAAGGGGTCCATCAGTAAATTTCCTAGTGCTGACCAGGAAATTCCCATGTTGACTAGTTAAAGGTCACATTTCTGGGGGTTGAAACTGCAGTTAGTTTAGGTATTAAGTCTTGGTTTACTGACTTGGGGCCTTACCCTAAGCGACACCATTTTGGGCCTGTCACTTTCATTTTAATAAGATGAAACAGAGAAACATTTTCAAAGGAAGGAATGGTCATCATGGGTGACTGATGGGAAACCAGGGATTGAAGTAGAGAAAAAAAAAAATCCTGACTCTCTGGTTCAGAAACTGGGGGAATCACGAGAGAGAAACTGCCCTCATCAGAGATCAGGAAGTTGAGAAGGCAAGCTGTTCTGGAGGAAAATCAAATCCTAAAACAGAACAAAAGCACTGACACAAAAGACGAGAATTTTTAGAAGGGAGCACATTGTTTCAACCTCACAGGCAATCAAAAAAATGCAAACTAAAACAATGATATATTTTTCAACTATCAAATTAGCAAAAAAAGAAAAAGAAAGAAAGAAAGAGAAGTGTTAAGTAATACTATTCAGTGCTGGCAAGGGTACTAGTAGAAAAGGCATGGTCAGCTAGACTTAGGGTAAACGGATGGGACCTTTCTGGAAGCAGTCTTGCAGCATATACTATCTATTATTAAAAGTTTATGTCCTTAATTTCATTTCTAGAATGTTATCCTTAATACAATAATTTAAAAATGCAAACCAAAATGTAGATACAAAAATAATAGTGTTGTTGGGTGCCTGGGTGGCTCAGTTGGTTAAGCGACTGCCTTCGGCTCAGGTCATGATCCTGGAGTCCTGTGATCAAGTCCTGCATCGGGCTCCCTGCTCAGCGAGGAGCCTGCTTCTCCCTCTGACCCTCCCCCCTCTCATGTACTCTCTCTCATTCTCGCTCTCTCAAATAAATAAATAAATCTTAAAAAAAAAGAAAGAAAGAATTATCTGTGTTTTGGGTGTTGAGTTGTATCAGTTCTTTATATATTTTGGATACTAACCCTTAATCGGATATGTCATTTGCAAAAATCTTCTCCCATTCCATAGGCTGCCTTTTAGTTTTGTTGATTGTTTCCTTCACTGTGCAGAAACTTTTTATTTTGATGTAGTCCCAATGGTTTAATTTTGTTTTTATTTCTCTTGCCCCAGGAGACATTTTTGAAAGAATTTGCTACAGCTGATGTCAAAGAAGTTACTGCCTGTGCTCTCTTCTAGGATTTTTATGGTTTCAGGTCTCACATTTAAGTCTTCAAGCCATTTTGAGTTTACTTTTCTGTATGGCGTAAGAAAGAGGTCCAGTGTCATTCTTCTGCATGTTGCTATCCAGTTTACCAGCACCGTTTTTTGAAGAGACTGTCTTTTTCCCACTGGATATTCTTGCCTTCTTTATCAAAGATCAGTAGACCATATGTGAGTTTATTTCTGGGTTTTCTATTCTGTTCTATTGATCTATGTGTCTATTTTTATGCCAGTACCATACTGTTTTGATTACTAATGCTTTGTAATATAACTTGAAGTCTGGAATTGTGATGCCTCTGGCTTTGGTTTTCTTTTTCAAGGTTGCTTTGGCTAGTCAAGGTCTTTCATGGTCCCATACAAATTTTAGGATTGTTTGTTCTAGTTCTGTGAAAACTGCTGTTGGTACCTTTTTTTTAAAGATTTTTATTTCTTTTTTGACAGAGAGAGAGAGACAGCGAGAGAGGGAACACAAGCAGGGGGAGTGGGAGAAGAAGAAGCAGGCTTCCCGCTGAACAGGGAGCCCGAGAAGGGCTCAATCCCAGACCCTGGGATCATGCCCTGAGCCGAAGGCAGACGCTAAATGGCTGAGCCACCCAGGCACCCCTGCTGTTGGTATTTGGATAAGGATTGCCTTAGATCTGCAGATTACTTTGGGTAGTATAGACATCTTAACAATATTTGTTCTTCCCATCCGTGAGTATGGAATGTTTTTCCATTTCTTTGTGTCATCTACAATTTCTTTATCGGTGTTTTATGTTTTCCAGAGTACAGGTCTTTCACCACTTTGGTTAGGTTTATTCCTAGGTATCTTTTTATTTGGGGGGCAATTATATTAAAACAATTTTTAATGAAATGAAAAATATTCATAATAACACATTTTTTTTTAAAGATTTTTTATTTATTTATCTGAGAGAGAGAATGGGAGACAGAGAGCATGAGAGGCGGAGGATCAGAGGGAGAAGCAGACTCCCCGCCGAGCAGGGAGCCCGATGCGGGACTCGATCCCGGGACTCCAGGATCATGACCTGAGCTGAAGGCAGTTGCT